TTAACCTCTGTCTCTCTTCCACAGCATGTCTCTATCCTGTCTTCCTTCTCTCGCAGCAGATGGCCCCGCCCCTCCCTGAGCCTGGTTCTGCTGGAGGTTTCTTCCTGTTAAAAGGGAGTTTTCCTTCCCACTGTCGCCAAACTGCTGCTCGTAGGGGGTCATATGATTGTAGGGTTTTTCTCTGCAGGGTCTCTACAATATCGCCTTGAGGCGACTGTTGTGATTTGGTGCTACATAAACAAAACTGAATCTTCTAAATTTGTGACACGCCATTTCCTCTCCAGCTTATGAGTCATCTGCTTTCGGGTACGTGTTTGAGAATTATACCACGGAGTCAGGTACTTCTGATTTGAGACCTTAGTTTTCACAGGAGCTACAGTATCCAGAGTCGTACGTAGTGAGGAGGTAAAGTTATTAACAAGATGATCGACCTTTGTTGGAGCAGCGTTCAGGTAGCTGCTCTGTGTTGGTACAGGGCATTGAAGATGATAACAGTGGGTGGATTATATTCTTCACCCTCTGCGTCGCATGAATAACTGCCCGTCCTTGACTGCTTTGATTTCACCTTGACTGTTTTTCCTTGCCTTGCTATCATTCTTTTCAGCACAACCTCATGTTTCACTTTATAGTTATTTTTTTCATTTTGACATAAAGTATAAACACAATTGACCTAAAAAGTAAATAAATAAAACCCGAGTGGGAAGAGTTGGACTTCTTCTATGAAAACATATTTAATTAATCATTTTCATAACTCGAACGCAAATATAAATTATAAACTGGTAAACTCAGTATGAACCGGAGCTTTTTTTTTGCAAATATTTTCATTGAAAAAAGAAAACAACACAGTACTTGCACTTACCGAAATACAATTAACCTGTCTTCATTTTCCTAAGTAAATATACTTATATATGAAAAAAACTGAACTGGAGCTTTGCCTGCACAGCAGGTTTGTGCTGTAGATGAAGGAAAAGCTGTTTTTGGAAGGGTGACAATGATCAGAGTATTTCTTCTTTCTGTTATTGTTTGCAAACAGTTCTGTCTAATGATCTGTTAAAGCAAACACAGGAAAATGTTGACCAGCACTTTAAACTTCAATCGGCTGCTTGCAGCCACCGCCTGAGCTGCAGGTATGTCACACACACTCATCAGGATATGGCATCACAGGCTTTATTTAAAAGAAACAGAAGACAAACAGAGGACAGGTAACTGGAAGTGACATCATGATGGGGCGGGGTCACTCTATGCCTTCCTGTTTGTCTTTGATGGCGACTCTGAAGCGTTCCTCCAGCAGTGACAGCTCGCTGATCAGGTCAGTGATAGCGTTCGTGAACGCTTCCTGTCAGGAACGACATCATTTCCTGTCATTTAATTTCACTTCCTGTAACTAAGAGCTGTAATCAGAAGTGTGTTCCAAGAAGCAAGTTTAGTTTATGAGGGAAACTCGGGTTTGCTGTTCCAGAAAGGCAGTTACCATGGTAACACTTATTATAATCAATCACTCTGATGGATAAATGGATCTTATTCGAGTGAAGTTCAGGCTGAGATGGCTTTAAAACTAAAGCTGAACTAAATGTGTTTAAAGTCACTGCAGACAGTCTGATTGTAATCTGATTACATTTCACATTGAAATGTAATCAGATTGAGGTTCGGTCATTTAAAGTCAAAATGAGCCTCGGCAGATTTTCCACTGAAAATCACCTGAGTCAGCCTCGGCAGGTCGACCCAGAACCAGATCAGCCAGAACATGGGCTCCGTGACGGATCAGCAAACCGAGTCCATTTGCACAGCCGGACGGATCCAAACAGATTTTTGATCAGGGATTCAGATCGGATAAATCCCAGATCCAGGTCTGCTTGGTCATGTCCCAGCTGATCCCATCTGGATCCGCTCACAGCTCTGCTCTGATCTGCATTCCTGATTTAAAATGTGTCATTCTTTCAAAACTATCCTGATACATCCTGATCCTGTAGAAGCTGAGACGTCTGTAATAGTATGCACATAACCCAGTGGGAACACGCTCAGAGCTGAATGAACTAACCAATCACCCTTCTGGAACAGGAAACTCAGAGTCTGATGAACATACTTCCTGGAATATCCCACAGGTGTGTGCGTGTTACCTGTGGGCTGTAGTCAGGTGTGGTCTGCACTCTGATGACGATCTTGTGCTCCAGAGGATGAGGAACTTTATAACCAGCAAACAGAACCTGAGGGTCCTTCAGCAGCTGACTGACCACACACACACACACACACACACAGAAAGTCATTTGATTGGTGGACAGACTGTAAGGATGAGCAGATTAGTGTGAATGATGTGTGTGCAGCTCACAGGAAGAATATTTGAGGATCAGTTCATTAACTTTGCTGACTTTATGATCAGGCACTGGGACAGCCGCCTATGGTGGCTTACACTAAGACCTGTTTCCCATCAGCAGCATGTCATGGTTTATTAAAAAACAAAAAGCAAGCAGAGATCAAATATTACAAGACTATGTTCTGGTTTTCTGAAAAAACCTCCTAGCTACCTGTAAGACGGAACCACCTGCAGGCTGCGTGCTAGCATCTGTCTCTGAGCCGCTGCTTAGCGTTTGTCTGGCTGTTAGCCTCAACTTAGCCAGCTGTGAAGCCGGGTCTGGGACCCTTACGCTCGGATGACTTTAGCGGGCTGTTGTTAGTTAGCCTGTTGTTAGCCTGGATGTAGCGGTGTGATGCCTTTGCGGCCGTGTCTCAGGGCCTTACGCTCGGATGATGTTGCCCAGCGTGTGGTCCTCCTTGTTCAGGGTGAACAGGCAGGCGTTCGGGACTTTGGTGTCCTTGCTGATGCTGATCTTTTTCTCCCCTTCGAACAGCAGGAACGACTCGAAAGCGGGAGGCGCGTTCATCTTACCTGTTCGCTGCTGCTGCTGCTTCCTCTAAATTTTATTGTCGGTTGGCAAACACCTGAATGGTGCATTACCGCCTCCAACTGGTGTGGAGCGGGGACTGGAGCGTCGCTCAAAAAAACCCAAACCCTTATTCGCTGACGTTTTGGGTCAGTTGTCTTCTCTCCACCTGATATTTCTGACACCCTAATATAACATGTTCTATCGTTTCCTCTTCTCCACTGTCGTCACATTTCCCTGTATTATGTTTCCCTATCATGAATAGTGTAGTGTTCAAACCAGTATGTTCTAATCTTATTCTCGATATGGCCACCTCCTCTCTCCTACTCCTTTCTGAGCTCCTCATTTCTCCTTCCCTCCTTTGGATTTCATCCAATCACGTCCCCTCTTTTCCTCCTCCCACTGTTTTGCCATCTTTTCTTCATTTCTTGCCTTACCATACTCTTTATCTCTACCCAGGTCGACTATCCCGTGTTTTGTGGCTTCCTTTGCAGCTCTATCTACCATTTCATTTGCTCTGACTCCACAGTGAGCTGGAATCCATAAAAACACGCCTGTAAGTCCCGTCATGTGTATTCTGTGAAGTGTTGCTGAACCTCTGCTAGGACATCTGCTCTGCTTTCTGAGCGGCTACTCTGTAAACTGATCAATGACGAGCCTGAGATCTGGGACTCTCCACCATTTGACCCAAGATCTAAAGAAGCTTCTCGGATGAGAGGTGAAACGCCTTCAAGCAACATAAAGAAGTCCAGACGCTTTTCTTTCCAAGCTCCTTAGACTACGATGACCTGGATGACTGAGAACCTCCACAGACAATGAAAATAAAAAGAAAACATTAAATGTAGTGTATGTGTTAAAAAATGAAATACATCATTCAAAAAGATGTGGAATTGTTTCACTGACTGTTTGACAGTTTTACAGTACAAGATTCATCCAGATCATTTCTATAGTTTTAATAAATTGGTTTGTTATTCGACCTTGTTGGTGATTAAATACTTCTTATTGTAAGTCCATATCAATGGCTCATTAATATTCATAAAGTTACTGTTCCAGTAAAACTGACAGTGAGGGGTTACAGGACAATGAATCATATATGTTTTATCCAGTATATTAATGGCATCTCTGAGAACATCTTTATTCAGTGCTGTCTGTATATTTGGTCCATTTGTGTCATCATGAAACACTGTACTGTGTTCTCTTACAGATACGGGAACATCACAGGTCCTCACAAACACAGGATATGGAAGAAAATGACCTTTTTACCTTCACTAGCTGGGACACATCATTAATATTATTTTGGATCCTTATATAATATTGATTTATTTCTGTTTTCCCACACAAAGTAATAAAGTGCAGCATCGACTGTTCTACGAATGATTTAGGAACATTTTTACTTTTGCAGGATACACTGAGTGTGAATATCCCTGTTTAAGATAAACGGATCAGTGATCGATCGCTCATGAGCCACAGATCAAATCTGTTTTTCATTTTTGGATTTAAATGCTGGAAATTAGAAATGACCCTCTCAGACTGATCTCGACAGATGTTAGTTCCCAAATAAGTCATCTGTTCTTTGACAGGAAAACCTTCTTTAAGGACACAAGCCTCTCCGACAGGAACAGGACACATTTTCATGTTTAAAGTCAGACCTGATACTCCAGAGAAAGCATTAATGCAGTTTATCATCTTTGTTTTGAACTCATCTTTAATGAAGACAGCTGTATCACCTGCGAGCTAACAGCATTTCATTTTCTGATGGAAACTCTCCGAGTGGTTCCCACCAAAGTTTAACTGAGCTATTACATCATTCTCACTGTGGATCTGTGCTGTCAGAGCCTCCGCGTGACATCATCTGTTGGTCACCTTTCACTAAGCTAGGCTTGAAGAGACAGCAGTCTGATATTTAATTTAAGTTAGCCTGAAACAGAGCTGTAATCATAAACAGAAGGTAAAACATTTATTCACAGGCATATTTATTATGACAGGTAAGTGAATACACAAATGTATATTTATGTAATTTTGTTTGTTTACTAAAACCGATTTCTGACTTGTTGGGCTCTGTTATGACGTCAGCATTAAAAGACGTTTGGATCATTTCGTCGTTCACGCTGCCTAATCACAACGCACCTCCCTTTACTTGGCAGGCCTGCCATTGGCCAGCCAAAGCTGGCTTGTTTTTAAAGGTCGGGCGCTGATTGGCCGACTGTGTAAGAAACAGTCGGTTTAAATCGGGGGCGGGAGCGTGTTCCGTTTGAATCCAACAGACAGTAGCTGTACTCTGGCCGACAAACCCCGACCGACAACCGGTGAGTCCGTACCGGGAAGAGTTTTTGTTTGTTTATAGTCTCCTCTGGGTAATAAACAGGCTAGCCGCAGAGCCAACGCTTAGCCGACCGGTGGAGCTAACAGCTAGCACCTTTAGCACGACGTCGTCACAGTGAAGGTGAGCCTCGTCTGTTAACGGGGTAAGGTCTGAGTAAAACACCCGAACGGTGGCCTGAGAGGCGGATACAGCTGGAGACGAGTCCTCGGAGCTGGATCCGGTGCCAGCGTTTAGCTGCTGTTAGCTTAGAGGGAGAAACACGGGAGGTGAGCCGCAGAGGAACCCGGGCCTTCTAACCTCACTTTGTCTGATTCAGCAGAACAGGACGGTAACGCTCATGGCCTCCCAGAACATGGACCCCGCAGCGGCTGCAGCTTCCAGCACCGCCGCTCTGAAAGGCAGCGACAGCGGCGGCAGCGCGGCCAGAGGCTCTGTGTCCAAACGGTGTGTGTTTGTGTGAGAGAGAGACTTTTCCTATTGTGTGTTTTCATATTGGGTGTTTGTGTCAGCTCTCAGTGCCAATTTCTGACTCTACCTGTCGGACAGGTGTTAGCAGTACACTTCCTGTTCACGGTTGATTAAACTTTATTAGTACAGCTGTTGGTAAACAATGATGCGCTTGGTTTCCGTGTGCTGTGCCGCCATTCGATTACACCAGTGGCCCTGTCCCACTAGTACCGGCTCGGTTTTTAGGGGTTTTGTTTGTTTGTTTTTTAATAGTACGTGCTATCCTAAAATGTGACATCAACTGACTGGGTGCCACCCATTGGCTAGTCAGTAGCGTCGATCGATGGGGCCTGAAGGCGTGTCCTTCACGAAAATCAAAGCCGCCATATTTAAAACCCGGCAACTGGGGAAACCAACAACCCCAGAAACGGAAAACTACTAGAGTCGTGCTGAGTAGGTACTTGTGTGAAAGGGCTAAAAGTGACACTGTTCAGCAGGTGATGGGTGGGGGCAGCTCCTACAGGTGTGGAGTGACAGGCAAACTTAGTATCACAGTTGCCTCAGTCTGAGTCATACAGATGGGCAAGTTTACCTGATCCTCTCTGCACAGCACCTGTCTGAGCTGCAGTTTCATGAAGGGCTGAGTTGAGTTCAGGAGGAAACACCAGAACCACAAAGGAGGCAGGCTCCTCCTTAATCTGAGCCAAAAGTGAAACACTGAACTGAGCATGTGCAGCAGATTCTGAGCTTCCTGTTTGTGTCTGCAGGCTGCAGCAGGAGCTGATGACGCTCATGGTGAGTCCAGTCTTCATCAGTGTTCTGTTCTAACCTGTAACACCTGAGGTCATGTGACACCCTCCATGTGTCCTGAAGTTGTGTGACAGTCTCTCTCTCTGGTGCAGATGTCAGGTGATAAGGGGATCTCTGCGTTCCCAGAGTCAGATAATCTGTTTAAGTGGGTTGGAACCATCGATGGCGCTCAGGGGACGGTATGTACACACGGATCATTTGGGTTACTCTGCTCTCAGCAGAAAGTTAAATTCTGCTCTGTCTTACCTGTTCAGGTGTACGAGGGCCTCAGGTACCGCCTCTCTCTGGAGTTTCCTGCCGGTTACCCGTACCAGGCCCCACGCGTAAAGTTTGTCACACCATGTTTCCACCCCAACGTAGACGAGCACGGCTTCATCTGCCTTGACATCCTGAAGGACAAATGGTCAGCGCTCTACGACGTTCGCTCCATCCTGCTGTCCATCCAGAGCCTGCTGGGAGGTAAATGCGTCATCACCCCAGCACTGTCCAAGCTCTGCCCTCTGACCTCACTGTCACTCTGCTTCCTCCTCAGAGCCGAACAACGACAGTCCTCTTAATGGTGTGGCGGCCGAACTGTGGGACAACCAGGAAGGTGAGACCACGTAAACACCCCGCTGTGCGCAAACACGTTAACAGCTGCGTGAAGCAGGACTGATGGTTGTTGGTTTTTTTGTTTTTGTTTTTTCTTTCAGCTTTCAGAACTCATCTACGCTCGACCTTCCAAAATTGAAGCTCCGCCTCCTCATGTTCGTCTGTCTTCCGTGTTTGTATCATATTTTTATGTTTGTCAATAAAGTTCTTAATTCAACACAGTGTGTTATTGATCTGAGCGGCTGAAATATGCTGTCCTCCCCTGACACACCGCGTGCAGGCTGGGCTTCTCTTTTCAAAATTAAGCTGGTTTTAATTTGAAAGACTAGGAGGAAAAGGAGGAGCCTTGGGTGGGGTCTTTTCTTTTTTTTTCTTTTCTTTTTTTTCTTCTTTGCTGCTGCATCATGACATCAATACTCAAGTACACTTTATAGTTCACCTGAGCGCAAGTGAATTCATCCTTTGATTGGAAAGGCAGCACTTGATGACATCACAGCTCAGTCTCAGTGTGTTTTTATTGACACTGCCCTTAATTTCATTGAATAATATTGACAATGGAAATTAAACTGCAGGAATGTCTTAAAGACATAAAGACCTGGACGGCCGCTAATTTTCTGCTTCATTCAGATCAAACTGAGGTTATTGTACTCGGCCCTGAAAAGCTTAGAAATATGGTCTCCAAGCAGATTCTTACTCTGGATGGCATTACCTTGGCCTCCAGTAACACTGAGGAACCTTGGAGTCATTTTTGACCAGGACATGTCCTTCAATGCACATATTAAACAAATATGTAAGACTGCTTTCTTCCATTTGTGCAACATTTCTAAAGTTAGAAATATCCTGTCTCAGAGTGACGCTGAAAAACTAGTTCATGCATTTATTACTTCCAGGCTGGACGACTGCCTTCAGTTTTCAGGCCCCTCTTCTGTGGAACCAGCTTCCAGTTTGGATTCAGGAGACAGACACTATCTCTACTTTCAAGATCAGGCTTCAAACTTTCCTTTATGCTAAAGCATATAGTTAGGGCTGGACCAGGTGACCCTGAATCCTCCTGTAGTTATGCTGCAGGTGAATCCATGCATTGTGTATTTTATCTCAGTATGTACCTGTCTATCACCTCCTAAAGGATAGTTCAACCATCCAGTGGCATTTTTCTTCTGTGACATGTTAATCATTAATCACTGCAGATATTGATCTGCCAGCTTTATTTAGACTTATTTAATATTGATTGTTTAAACATCACAATGACAAATGAACCCAGGTTTTCTTCTGTTTCCTCTAAAACACGATTCTCCCATCTTAATGGAAACACTTAAATCTACATCTACCCGACGCAGCCCAGCCCACAGCATGCCGTCTTCTTGGAACCGGCAATGACCTCAACCTCCATCAGGTCCTCCAGGCTCTCCACCAGGTCATCTGGCTCACCGCGGGCTTCAGCCCACGCCGGCTGGGTCGCCTCCACCGACCAGAACGCCACGGGAACCTGCAGAGCAACGGTGAGACACTCAGAACAAAAAACAAAGCAGCGGCACAGAATTCAGCTGTTTATAAAGCAAACTAAAGAGCAGACAGGTGACTCTGCAACAGTTAAACCTCACAGTCCAACAGGAAGTGTTCCATATGCTTCCCCTCACCCTCTGTTGCATCTCGCTCATCATAGTTTCCAGTCCTGTGATGTGATTGGTCAGATCTGGGCTTGGTTCCACCTCCGAGGTGAGCCATGGCAACTGGACTGAGGCCACCCGAGCTGCCACGCCCACCACGCCATCAACACATCCTATAAATTCAGAAGGACAGGTGAGAAACAGATGGTCAGGTGGATGAGAAAAACACTTCCTCAGGTAAGTTCAGCTTCTTGGTGACTGAGGTCCTGGAATTTATGAAGGCAAGGCAAGTTTATTTGTACAGCACAATTCAACAACAAGGTGATTCAAAGTGCTTTACAGAGACATTAGAAACAAAAACAAATAAAAAGCATGATTTAAAATTGATTAAAACAAACAAACTAATTAACAAACAAACAAAACAGTATATAAAATCAAAACAGATAAAATCAGATAAAATCAGTAGTTAAATGTAAGTTTTGGAATTTAAGCTTAAAAGTGTGGATTTTGGTGCTTTATTCAAATGCAGCTGAGAACAGGTGAGTCTTCAACCTGGATTTAAATAAACTGAGTGTTTCAGCTGATCTGAGGCTTTCTGGGAGTTT